GAATTTGGTTCTATGCAAATTTAGGAACCACTACTGCTTTTTTAAAAAATGGAAACATGGCTAGAGCAGCATCTGAGAAAGTAATTAAAATTGTTCTTCACATATACTTATATTTGGCATTTCAGATACACAGTAAACCACTTACCTCTCAATTACTCCCATATTCTTGAATTCCTACTGCGCTGTCTATAAATTGTCATACGGAGGTATATCCACTAGGGGTTTAGAATGCTATGATACATCATTCACACATGCTTCATTCATTTTATTTTTTTTAAATTCCTAGTGAAAAGCTAAAAAGCTGTATTTATTATAAATACCAGAGACATACAATAGTATGAAATACAAAACCCCTCTCTCCTAAAACACGTTAAACTATAATGAGATTGGATCTCATCTAGGAAGTCATTGAGAAGTGCAGTTCTTTCTAGTACATTTTGCAGCTGCATTGCCATGACATTCTTGTTTACTTATCATTAGAAAACTTTGATGAAACTTCTTTTCTCTATGAGTAACCTTTACTTATTGGGATATTTGAAAGAGGCATTGAAGCCAAAACAATAGTTCTCATAGGTCCCACTTGTGTGGGTGAGAAGGCTCAGGCTCCCTCTGGTGGTGATAATGACTCACAATTTTTATTGAAAAATGATGATGCCAGAATGAGATTGTCAGGATGAAGTGATGTTCCCAGTTAAACACCAAACAGAAGTCTGATGCCTTAAAGATTGAGCATGCAGGTTTTGGAAGTGACTCTTGAATGATCTTCAGCAGCTAGGTTGCTGGGCTCTGTGGCTTCCTAATCCTTCTTTAATTCTGACATGGGAAGGGAGGAAAAAGGGAAGGAGGGGAAGATTAAGCTATCTCTTAATCATGTCTATTCTGACTGCTCAGGAATATGATGAGGAATATATTTGTTAAGGGCTTTGAATTTTTAAAATAAAGGTGTTTTATAAACTTACAGTATTCTTAGTAACATTTTCAACTCTAAATTTCCTTTAAGAGCAGTGTTCAGTAGTAAAATCACAAAAATAAGTCAAATGCTACCACATTTATTATATTTTTTAGTATAATATGGTACACAAAATATAGTGTACTCTACCCTATAGTATAATATATAATGTTTTCTAGCTAATATAATTGGAAGGTTAGGGTGATATAGAAGACTACGTGCATTGATAGGGTTTAAACCCTTTGTACAGTCAACTGGGTGACTCAGTCGGTTAAGTGTCTGAGTCTTGGTTTCAGCTCAGGTCGTGATCTCATGGGTCATGGGTTTGAGCCCCACATGAGGCTCCACACTCAGTGGGGAGTCTGCCTGAAAGATTCTCTCCCTCTACCCCTCCCACCACTTGTGTGCTGTCTCTCTCTCTAAAATAAATAAATCTTTTTTTTTTTTTAAATATACCCTTTGTAGATTTATGAAGTAGTATTCTTATTTTAGGGTTTTGGAAGAAAGGAAGATGATGATTCTAAGTGATACCTCATCAAACAAATTTCTCTGAAAAATGAATATTTAAATTGGACTATTGATATAAGGTGTGGATGAGGGATGTTTGTTTTTTTTTTTTGAGAAGTACTGGACTAATATTGGACTTAATGTGCGTTTTTTATAGAAATAGAACATTTCCTTAGGAACTTATTTGGAGAGTTCAAGTAAAAAATCTGCATAATTAAGGGCCTTTTAATTAAGAAAAATGGCTGTCGGAATCCCACAGCTTTCTAAATCTACAGAATGATGTTGAGCCGCAGATCCTGAATTCATCCTAAATTATTGATTAAATGTATGCAGATGTAAGCATAAAAATAATACATTCCTCATTAGCATGTTGCCTGTGTTTACATCTGTTAAATCACAGGTGGTCTAGGAATTGGAGGAAATTAGGGCTTTTTTTTTTTTTTTTAAAGATTTTTTATTTATTTATTTGAGACAGAGAGAATGAGAGAGAGTGAGTCCATGAGAGGGGGGAGGGTCAGAGGGAGAAGCAGACTCCCTGCCGAGCAGGGAGCCCGATGCGGGACTCGATCCAGGGACTCCAGGATCATGACCTGAGCCAAAGGCAGTCGCCCAACCAACTGAGCCACCCAGGCGCCCCAGGGCTTTTTTTTTGTTTCCTTAGCTTTGGAACTTCTCCCTGCCCTAAAGCTGCTTGAGACCACTGGCCATTTCAGAACTCAGTTTCCTTAAATATATGACTATTATAGATGCTATAGAACTGAAACACATAGGCTAAACTTCTGAATCTTTTAGGATCATTATTTATGGCTGGAAGGACTAATGTTCCCATTTGGGTTAAGATAACATTTCTGCTAACTCTTACAAGATGGGACTGAAAGGCATTGCCTGTGGAATCACAACAATAGTAATTTTTTAAAACAGGAAAATACATCTATGTTTTTTTTTCTTTTTTTTTTTTAATAGTTTTCTTCTTTTTTTTTTTTTAAATTTTATTTATTTCTTTGAGAGAGAGAGAACACATGAGAGGGGATAGGGTCAGAGGACGAAGCAGATTCCTTGCCTAGCAGGGAGCCCGATGCGGGACTCGATCCCGGGACTCCAGGATCATGACCTGAGCCGAAGGCAGTCGCTTAACCAACTGAGCCACCCAGGCGTCCCCTTGCTGTCATTCTTTACAGCACTGTTTCAGTATCCACATAATGGATCTTTGCAGTGACCTGGCCTCATAGTCCCTCCACCCGACCATAGCTACTTTACTTTCAGGTCAAACCTTTGACCAGTCATTTCCGATCTGGGGCAGTTCTGCCTCCATGAGACGTTTGCCAATGTCTGGAGACAATTTTTGCTTGTCACCCTGGGGAGGTATTAGTAGCATCGTGGGTAGAGACCGTAGGTGCTACTCATCATCCTACGATGCACAGGACAGCCCTCGATAGCAAAGAATTACCTGACCCCAAATGTCAGTAGTGCTGAGGTTGAGGAACCCAGGTCAACTCAAAGATAGCCACACTATCGCATCTTTCAGAGATAAGAATGATTATCAATAGAACGGCCTCCCAACCTAGATATGATGTAATACTTTAGACTGTTGGGTGACCTTCTGTGAGAATCAGATGCTGGTGTATAGTTGAAACAGAACCATCTTTCCTCTGGGAATGGAGTGAGTAGCTTAGTGCTTTTTAATATTAGCATCTTCTCTGGTAGTATCACTTCGTGGGTTATCATATTGTCCAGTGAATCACACCAGCCAAATGTAGGAAAGGCAGATTTCTTACAGAAAAATCCTTCCAAAGAAGCATTTCTTCTTTTTTTTAATATCCTTTTTTGTTTTTTTTAAAGATTTTATTTATTTATTTGACAGAGAGACAGTGAGAGAAGGAACACAAGCAGGGGGAGCGGGAGAGGGAGAAGCAGGCCTCCCGCTGAGCAGGGAGCCCGATATGGGGCTCGATCCCAGGACCCTGGGACCAGGACCTGAGCCGAAGGCAGATGCTTAATGACTGAGCCACGCAGGCGCCCCAAAGAAGCATTTCTTAAGATTTTTTTTAAGCATATAATTTTATTATATAACAACATTAACATTTAACAATAATCACGTTTTATATGTTTGAGACCAAGGCTTCATCCCCTCCCCTTATCTTCCATGTTTTGATTCCTTTTGAGTTGATTAAAAGACCTTTACAGGTTTTTTTTTTTCCCCCACAAAGGAAAAAAAAAAAGACCACTTAGTCAATTTAATTGCTAGAAAGTAGCTTATTGTATTCTGTGGGCTCAGAAAGCCCTACCAGAATGCCTCAGTGGTGCCTCATTAACTGAGAAAAATGAAAACAATGGTAATATCATCTGTAGAATGTGATATTGAGCCCAAAATGTTGACACAGATTATGAATGTACAGTTCCACAGGACAGAGTATTGCAGTGGCTTTGCAAACCTCCAGGCCTTTTAATTGTTAGGGTTTGGGTCCTTTCTTTGGGCCTTTATTAGGCTTTGGTTCTGTTGAAAGGATGAATGAAAGCTTATCATTTTCTCACTAGGAAAAAACGTCATTCTGTGCAACAATTGCAGTGATAATAGATTTCTAGAATTCATTGCTATTATGGGGAGGGTGAACACAGGAATGCTGACTTCCAATTTCTCATTCTAGGAAATTAAAAGTAGTGGTATAATTTCTACTCAAGTAGCTTTTGGAGAAGATATTGTGGGGTATGTAGATGGGGATGGAGAAGGGCATATAGAGGGTGACAGTACGAGCCACACATAGATTCCAGCATTTCTGGGCCCGTGCTTTTACCCAGAAACACAGTGTCAGATGTAATATGAAAGGTGGGTCACTAGCACAGTCTGCCAGGTCTGAGCTGTCCCACCATTTCCTTTTCCCTGTGGTTGCTGCTTCCAGTAGGTAATCACAGATCATGTTGAGAATCTTTCGTATTAATAGAATCAGGATGAGTTCTTTGCCTTTACTTAGAAATAGCCAGAAGGGGGGCGCCTGGGTGGCTCAGTCGTTAAGCGTCTGCCTTCGGCTCAGGTCATGATCCCAGGGTCCTGGAATCGAGCCCCACATCGGGCTCCCTGCTCGGTGGGAAGCCTGCTTCTCCCTCTCCCACTCTCCCTGCTTGTGTTCCCTCTCTCGCTGTCTCTCTCTGTCAAATAAATAAATAAAATCTTTAAAAAAAAAAAAAGAAAAGAAATAGCCAGAAGGACCAGAAACAGAAGCCCTGAATCCTCTTCATTGTAAAATCACCACTGGAGGGTGTGTGGATTTGCTCCTAAACTTCTAAGCTCTATTCATCACATAAAGCCCTGCCTGGTTGTGGCTGGTTGTTCTGTGATTTTCTTCAGTAGTGTTAGCAGATAAATTATCCAGTGTCTCTATACTATCCCACATTGGCTCTCCCTGCCCGGTCTTTTCTTGTCTGGTCCCAGCTGGCAAATAAGAACTTCAAGGTCTGAAAACTAGGAATGTTGCTCTGCTAAAGTTAGCTGTGAGATTGTTAGATGAAGCATGTTTGTAGACATGAGCGGTGTGTTTTCTCTTTATAGGAGGAGCCCTGATATCCAAGCAAAAGAAGAGTTGTGGAAGCATATTCAGTAAGTACTGCTTTTTTTCTTATTATTGTTCTAAAACCCGTGTAGTGTTAAGGCATTTACGAGGAAGACCACTGGACACCAAGAGGCACCCTCTGGCTGAAGCCTGTCCCATGGTCTACTTTGCCATCATTGTGTGGAACACCGCCCTCCCATGGTGGTGCCTTCTCAGGCCAGCAGCCCCTCTGTAGGTAGTCCTCTCTTTAGACCAGTTAGCCTTGCCTGTAAATGGGCCTCAGACTGGCCAATAGTTTACAAATAAATACCAAGGAAAACAGATTCAGAAGGAAAAAAGATGCCTACTGCAGGGGAGAGAAGCCGATTTTTTGTAGGGAGATAATGGGTGGAGAGTCCTCTACATTCTGGATATAGAAAAACTGGAAAAAAAGAAGAGCTATAGAAAAGGTTCCCCCCCCCCCCCCCGTTTTTCCTTGAATACATTCTAGTTTTTTAATCTTTGTTCCTGGCTTATGTTTCTCTTAGTTTTACTAACGTTGTGTTTTGGGACACGATTAGGAAGGGAAAACCCATCTGCCGATTGTGAAAGCTATTAGTATTTATATCAGCATCATAACTTTAATTTTCTTGTACATTCCCTTCTAGAAAGGAACTTGTGGATCCTTCTGGATTGTCTGAAGAACAATTAAAAGAGATTCCATATACTAAAGTAGAGTGCGTATGTCTTTGAAAATCTTTTCACAAAAGTTTTATTAATACTTATTAGTAAATAATCCATTCTTACTCTTCATTGGTGTTCCATGAAGTGCTTTAATTTGTCTTTGCGTTTTAACTAAAATTACAACTTTAGGGAAAGAGGTAGAAAAGGGTGTATTAAAGCTAATTGATATTCTGTCCTACAGTCACTATCATCTATTAACTGCCTGTTTGTATGTGGTAGCTACAAAGGAGCTTTTGATGATTAATGTCAGTTTTAAAATAAAAATTCCTTTTTTGAGATATTCACTGATTGGTAACAATGTTTCTTCTTATTCATTACTTTAATGCCCAGAGAATTATATTGGCCACAAATCCTTTCATATAAGCCCAACCCAATCCCTGTCATAGAACTAGCACATTGAACATGCTTCATGGAAGCATAACAGGACTCCCTAATCATTCAGTATAGGATGCAGCATAAGATGATCTATTTACTCTGTTTTCTGCCCCGCTATAATTAATTAAGAGAAAATGGGATTCTACTTCATTGCTTCATGTCCCTCTGTAACCCATGCTTGCTTCCCACTCTGGTCAAACAGCAGGTTTGTACACACCCTCCCCAACTCCCATTCCTGCCTCTCCTTATCTTTGGGCCAAAGATTGAATTCTTAATGACAGGCTAATTAGTAGCTAGGGCAAGGACCAACTTTTTCTGGTAGGAATGCCATTTTGTCTGCATTGTAGGTTTTTTTTTTTACACACTTTTGGAAAAAATTGAACTGGGAATAGTTTCATTAAAATTTTTTCATTTAAGAGAAAATATATATATACCCACATACATACAAATACTAGAGTGTCATTTTCATGTATGGTCAAAGGAGAAGTGTTCTGTTGTTAGCTTGTGAAATTTAAACCACTTAGGCTTTACAGGCTCAGAGGGATCAAGTTCTTTTTAAACTCTCGAAGTCTTATTCTTCTGTGGTTTCCACCTTAAGGGAAAATTCCAAATTATCCTGTTCTGACTTCTGGTTTGTTTCCACATTTTTGGTTGCTTGTTCAGGACTCAAGGTGACCCAGTCCGCATCAGGCATTCCCATTCGCCGCGAAGTTACCGCCAGTATCGCCGGTCCCAGTGTTCAGATGGAGAGCGATCTGTTCTCTCAGAGGTGAAGTAAGTAGGCAAGCGTGAGTACATCATCCCCTCCATGGTTCCGGCTCCAGAACAGCACAGTATAATGGGATTTTCTGCAATGATGGAAATGTTCTGTATCTGTGGCTATTATTTGAAAGGTGGTTAGAGTGACTGAGAAACTGAAAATGTAATATTATTTTTAATCAATTTAAATTTAAATAGCCCTGTACGGCTAGTGGCAACCATATGGGATGATGGCACAGAGCTAGACTATACTTGGGCTAAATCATGACACCTCCAAGCTATGCACTGAAACTTTTATTTATTTATTTTTAAGATTTTTATTTATTCATTTGACAGGGATAGAGAGAGAGAGCATGCCAGAGAGCACAAGTCGGGGCAGATGGCAGAGGGAGAGGGAGAAGCAGGCTTCCCAGTGAGCAGGGAGCCCGATATGGCGCTCGATCCAGGACCCTGGGATCATGCCCTGAGCCAAAGCAGACACTTAACTGACTGAGCCACGCAGGTGCCCCTGCCCTGAAACTTTTAGAAGAAGAAGATGTATGAACTATTCTGTTATGAATAATGCATCCTTATTTGAGAGAAGTGGCATAAGTTTCTTTCTGATCAGAGGACATTTTCTTTTACTACAGTAAATATGTGTTGCAGTCATTTCTTTGTATTTAGTTTTTCTTTTGAGGAAAGTGACCATTTCTCACACTATGGTCACAATAGGTGCTATATTTTAAATGAATATGCTAACGAAATAATTATGCATCATGTACTTGGTATTGCTGGGTAGGAATGTTAATCATTGAACTCTGAATTAAGGCTCAAAATTTTAAATTGGGAGATAGACTAACAATAAATTGGGAGGTAGACTAACCCAGCAGAGAGAGGTATAGGCCAGGTTTTATTTTTTGTTTTGTTTGTAAAATGTAGAGCCTGGCTATTTATAGCCTCATAGGTTTATAGAAAAAGAATAAATGGCCAATAAATGCTTCTCTGGAAACAAATCAAAAAGCCATTTATACATGTCACAGTAACAAAAGCACATGGGAACCACACCTGTTTTATTCTTGGTTCTCTTATTTATTTGCTGTGATTTTAAACAAGTTACCTAACCTGCTCAACTTAATTCAAAAACATTTATTAAACACCTCTCTGTGTAAAGCACTGTGTAGGCACTGTAAGGAATATGAAGGTTTATAAAACATGCTTTCTATCCTGTAATCCTCTTCCAGCTCAAGTTGGGATTCTAGGTACTGTTTCAATCCTTAATTCTAAAACAAATTCTCTGCAGTTCAAAAACGGATCTTGTACCTCCACTCCCTGTGACCCGTTCTTCAGATGCTCAGGGTTCTGGTGGCTCCACGGTTCATCAGGTTGGTAATGAAGTTTTAAGGTGTTGGTACTGATGACAGTTTTTCAGAAGCACTTTTCTGAAAGGTCTTTTGGGGGAAATAGAGCAATGAATCTCTAACTTCACTTTGAGATTCCGTAATTTTAAAAGAAGGTATACCGAGTGTGGAAGAAGGAAGGAGGGTTACATGATCAAGGCAAGGCACGACGTGGGTAGAGTTATGTTAGAAGTGAGAGCTAGAGCTAGTGCAAGGTCTCAAGTGATCTGATGCTTGGAGCAAAGCCAAGGATAACAGAGATGGTAAGATTGTTTGGAGCCAGAATGAAGAAACAATGGTTTCACTAATTAAAAAAAAAAAAAAAAAAATTCTTTTAGATGTTTTTTGAGCCAGAGAAACAAGGAGAAAGTGATAGACTCACAGCGGGCAGATGTTCTATTGTTAGAACTAATGGCAGGCAGGAGAATTACTCAAGTCCTATTTCATTTCTGTCTTCTCCATCAAAGAGAATTACTTTTATTCTGGAAATGTTTAAGAAAATGTGGTTAAAAAGGAATTCAAGGACATAGTAGAGCATCTAGCTGCCTTAACAAAATCGATTTAATACTCAGCTGAATTAGATAGATCAGGAGAGCACTGTCACAAACATATTGCAACAAGGTGTTTAACACCATCTCTCATGGTAAATAAGAGAAAATAGTAGGTTGTGTAAGATCATTGGATGGATTTATATCTGGTTAAACCTTCACTCTAAGAACAAAGTTGATGTTTATAATGGATCAATGTCAGCCCACTGTTCGCAGTGCGTGGTTTTCAGTTTTTAGATCCTGGATCCCTGTGGAAAGCAATTATAACTGCTGTTTCTGTCCCATAAAAATGCATGTAAGCACATACATAGTTTTGTATGTAAATTCAGGGAGTTTATGGACAACTTAAGAAAACGGACTCCAGCGTTACTTGTCATATGCTGCCCTTTGTTTCTCCTGATTCATTTTTGTCACTGACTTGTGCAGGGACAGAAAAGCCTGTGCTGATTTAACTTAGGCTCCCTGGGAAGAGAGTCTGAGATTGAGTTTTACAAGGAGGAAGTTTATTGGAAAAGACTCTTAGGATCAACACTTGGGAAGTGAAAGGCAAGAGTGGAAGTGTGTGGTGTACTCCCAATAAAGCATCAGCTGATTCCACAGGGAGCTCTAGAGCTGAGATGGTCCATTCAGTCCCTCCCACCTGGACACAAAGCTCTTGGGCCTTTACACACTCACATTCACCATGGAGCAAGTCACTTGATAAGGGGTGCCCTGGGGGAGTTTCTGGGGAAGGGCTCAGTTTTTGAGCTGTAGGGCAGCCAACACTCCCAGCAGCTGGGGGAGTGAATGCCTCAGTTCAGAATGGAGATCAGGGTAGTTGATCCCAGCTTCCACCAAAATCTGCCTCATTTTTGATTAGATAGATCTGGGAGAGCTAACAAGTTGCCCAAACAATTTGTTTCAAGTCAGTAGTAGTTTTAAAAAATTTATATTCAAGATTAGTTTAGGCTTTGCATTCAGATTGACCTGCATTTTTGTCTCCTTGTCTCCACATAGCACTTGTGTGACTTTGGACAAACCGTTTAACTTCTAAACTTCAATTTTTGTACAATGTAGGTAGTAACCCTGTTAAGGTTACTATGAGGATAAATAAGCATTATTTGTCAGAACTTTTTGAAGTTGGACTCAGTACAAATAAGAATCTTATTTTATCATGGTTTTGCTTTTCCAACTACTCTAGACTCCCTAATCACCATCACTTAGGAATCTCCAACTTAGGCACATTGAGAGAATAGCTCTCACTTTGCTGCGTACAAGAACAACTCCCATGCATCTTCTTACCAGTGGCACTGATTCTAAGCTTCTCTGTGTGACACCTTTGACTTTGAATTCAACAAACATCTAATGAGCAGATGTAAAGAGTGACAGGCACTGGTTGGGTAGTCAGCAGACTAGTCTATAGGCTAAATCTGGTCTGCCTGTTTTTGTACAGCCCAGGAGCTGATAATGGCTTTTCCATTTTTAAAGGGCTGTTTTAAAGAAAGGGTGGGGGAGGGGGGCAACATGTAACAACAACCAGATGTAGTCCACAGTCTGGCCCTTCACAGAAAAATATTTGCTGACTCCTGGCCTAGACATATAACACATAAAACAGGCAAAATTAAAAAAATTAGGTAAGCATTATGAAGAAACAAAGGGCTGAGTTAGCAAATCAACAGGTGACCTCACCTTATAGAGATGAGTGGTCAAAGAAAGCCATCTCAGAAACCTAAGTGTAAAGCTGAAACCTTGCAGGGGAGGAGCCATCCATGTGCAGAGGGAAGAGCGTGGGAGAAAACAGTCTGTAAAGGGCCTGAGTGTTTGAGCTGAAAGCCCTGTGTGGTCTCGGCCTGGTGCGGGTGGGGGCAGATAACACAGGGCTTTAGACACCACGGAAGAAGTCTGGATTTTATTCTAAGTGCCAAAAAGAACCCATTGATCTGGCTGCCATGTGGAGAAAGGACTTGAGTGACATAGGGAAGCAGCAAAGCTGCATGTCCTAGTTCTGCCAGGGTGCCAGAGGTCTGGTAGTGTCTTGGCCTGCCTCCACCTCACCTCACCATGCAGAAGGCTGGTAAAAGTGAGATGGATGAGGGACTCTGATTCACTTTATTTCCTTAAGATACGCAGGCAGAGGGGACAGGGTTAATGGTAGACTAATTTACAAGGTAGTGGCTTGTTTTAGGTAACCTCCTTGCTCCTTTTCCAACTCCTGTATTAAGCTTTCCATCCCCCTGCACTGACACACTGTAGGGTCCTTCTGATTATCTAGAAATCTTCCATTTCCAACAGATGTCTCACACTCTAAAATGATCTTGATTCAACCTTGGAGCTTAGTTTAGGAGTAACTACACAGAAAAATGACACTTAATTGGCATACTTGACTTTTTTTTTTTTTTAAAGATTTTATTTATTTGACAGAGAGAGACACAGTGAGAGCAGGAACACAAGCAGGGGGAGTGGGAGAGGGAGAAGCAGGCTCCCCGCTGAGCTGGGAGCCCGATGCTGGACTCGATCCCAGGACCCCGGGATCATGACCTGAGCCGAAGGCAAACGCTTAACGACTGAGCCACCCAGGGGCCCCGAGGACTAATTTTCATGCATAAAGTGTATTATGCATGTTACTATGATTTAACTTTAAAGATTTAAAGCCTTCATGTTGTAACTTGAATATTCATTGAACTTTTGATATTGTGAAGCTTTAATATTTTGTGATTTGAGGTCTTGATTTCTGATGTATTAATAAAACTGATTTCACTGTTCTCTTCTCTGAACCTTATCTTTTGAATACTTTTTCCTAGAGAAGAAATGGATCTAAAGATAGCCTGATTGAAGAAAAATCTCAGACATCTACAAGCAATCTAGCTGGAAAACACACGGCAAAAACAGTCAAAACTGTCCAAGCTTCACGCCTCAAGATAGAGACTTGACGATGCCCAGGAAGAGGGGCCTGGGGTTGGGGGTGGGAGGGGCGTGTGCCACCTGTACTTTCAAGCTGTGAATTGTTAATTATTCAAGTATCTTGGACCTGCAAGTGCTTCTTCGGGGGAAAAAAAAATCCAACCTGTTGCGTCTTTTAAAGGTTTAACAGCATTATTTGTGCTGAAGGGCCTTTTTTTTTTTTTGGTAACTGGAATAGTCTTGTGAAAACTCATTCACTGGATGCCCTATTTTCCCTCCTGGAGACTCCAAGTATCTTGTGTCCACGACCAAGACCAGATGCTTCCCATCAGAGCTCTGGCATCCGGGTGTGCAGCTGCCTAGCTGTGCAACAGCACGCGAGTGGACGAAAAGGTCCTTCCCACCTCTAGCTGGATCTCAGCCTGTGCACAGATGTATGAAGACGGGAGACCTCACTTGCAGACTGCAGATGTTTTCATTCATATAAATATGTTCTTTGTAAGACTGTATTTTGTGGTGTTAAGTTCCACTGGTTATTTACAAATGTAAAAAGCTTTTAAGTGTTGCTTTTAATTTCTAGTGTCCTTGTGTTTTCAGAAAACAGACTGTGTGGATTTCAGTTGACCTCAGCTTATGAATTCACGACCCTCAACCACAAATGGTCCCTCCATCCTGCCTAGCTACCGAACTCCCCCAAAGATGAATTCATTTGAGGGTGACTATCACAGGGAAAGTCAAGTACTCACGCAGGACATCTCACCACCTCCCTCCCACCACCTCCTCCAGAGCTGCCACCAACACTACCCGTCCCCACACCCATGCTCTGGAGCCCGGTCTCCTTTGGCCTTAGCTCTGTCACCTTACTCATCTCCGCTAGATCCTTGCGACTTGGTTTAAACTGTTAACTCTCCCACCAACTTTCACAACCACAAATCCCTCCCCAGTTCTCTTTCTTCAAGTTTCTCAAAAGGGTTATCGGTAGCCTGTGTCCTCAATCCATCTCCTAATCTTGATTTTAAACTGCTAAGATTCTCCCCCACTGCTCCACTACAGACCTCACTAAAACTACTTTGTGTACCAAATCCCAAGGGTAACTTTTAGGCTGCCTTGCAACATTTTTAGTGCAGTATTCCATTGTTTTCTACATTTCTCGCCATCCTTTACTGCTCTTCAGTAAGACGCTATTCTACCTCGCCAATTTCTAACTCAAAAGCTCAGTCCTCTCCCTCTAGGTGGATCTCATTTATGCCCATAGCCTTAAAGTATTCCTATAGCTTAGTCTATAGATCAGTGTTCTGCCAGAAAGCCACTTAAGATGTCTCCAAGGCAATCCCAATTCAACTAGTTTAAAATGCTGCTCTCTAGCTGGATTTAGGACCATTATGCTTGTGAATGTGCAAGAGACCACACACCTAGCAGTCGTTATAGACACCTCCCCTATTACCAAGTCCTGTGAGCTTTGCCCTCTACAGGTAATAATCTCCACAAATTTTACCACCCTGGTCCATGGTGTTTGTCTCTTGCCTAGACAACCGCTGTATTCTCCAACTGGTCCACCGCATCCTTTCTCTGACAGATATTAACTATCCTAGGTTTCCCCTTGCTGTAAACAAAGCTGTAAACGATCTGGTCTCTTACCTGCTGTTTAGGCTCGTTTTGTAATACTCGGGGCTCAGCTAACAGCCACCTTCAAGCCTCATTAAGCACTCATTTATAAATCAGGGCACTTAAGAGGGAAAGTAACTACAACTATCACAAATCTGGACCTTTTCTAGCCCAAGGCCTCTGCACATGCCATCCCCAACTTTGCCTTGCAAAAATGACACCTACCCTTAGGCTCAACTGCTTTCTCAGGTTTCTTTGTCTTAGTCAACTCATGCATGGGACTTGTCTCACAAAGTAAGTTTTATATTTGCAATGACATTTCTGCCATTCAACTCTCAGCTTCCAAAGGGAGGAACTGTTTTGCTCACCCTTGTGTTCCCACTTCCTAGTACATTATTGAAAAGTTCAATAAATTTTTTCAATGCTCAGACTATTTGTTCTTTCCTGAAAAGTGAAGGCAGAGGATGTGCTGACTGCCATCTAGTAAAAATAAAAATGCAGTGATAATGTAAAACACCTGTGACCTAGAAACCAGCTAGTCTAGTTCAGTTCATCATGCAGAAGGCACTGAAAGAAAGCACTTATTTCTTCTTGGGTGTAGCATAAACCTCTATCTCACAAGGCTATTCTTAACTGGTTGCGCTGAATACTAATCTTAACTACTGAGATTTAACCATTTTGAAATTGCTGGGGGAGGAAGGAGAAACCCTTCTTTTCCCTTTGATCTTTCAGTGAAGAATGCTATTTGCCGGTAGTTAATTACTTAATACACAAGCTTCCACGAAGCACAATGAAATATTTATTTGTAACCCTACTGTTTTAAGTGTGTATTTATAGACTGTCCAAAAGCAGTAATTTTAGTACCCCTCAGGCTCCTGGGAGTCTTAAATGATCCAAGCAACTCTTGTCAAGATTTCCTATGATGTTTTTGAATTCTTCATCAAGGACATCCTAAAAAACAAAATAAAGCATTCAATTTGACAAGCAAATATTCACCTGTATCATCACTTAATTAAACAATTCATACTTCTCTGAATTGCATTAAGTTATGCAGGTCTGGACTCAGCTTTAAATGTCCACATAAAACATACCAGAGGTTTGGCTAAGTGTTTGAAATTTAGGTACTACACACAGAAATACGTTATCTTAAAATTTCAAAAATAGGGTGCCTGGGTGGCTCAGTTGGTTAAGTGACTGCCTTCAGCTCAGGTCATGATCCTGGAGTCCCGGGATCGAGTCCCACATCAGGCTCCCTGCTCAGCAGGGAGTCTGCTTCTCCCTCTGACTCTCCCCCCTCTCATGCTCTCTGTCTCATTCTTTCTCTCTCAAATAAAAAAAATCTTAAAAAAAAAAAAATTTTTCAAAAATAAGCTAGGAACAGGCCACCCTATTTGCTGTTAACTTCACCTTGTTGACTACAGGTGTTGCAGTACTAATTTAAGCTAACACCCACTAGAAAAGGCACCCCAATCTAGAAAGGTAAAATTTGCATTAGGAGTAACCACTTTAGGACAGAACTACAAGGTAGCATCACCCTACCTTAGGTCACCTTTGTGCTCCCAGTGTTCAGCTGGCAGCAGTCTTTGCTTCAAGCATCCAGCTTTCACCTGCACAAAATTTAAAAACCGTTAAGAAAAGCTACACACACTTCATGTTGGCAAACTCAAGACCACATGTGTAAACTAATGTAAAAGCATCAACTGTTACTTATGCAGCTCCTCCACCAAAAATACCAAATTCAAGGGCAGGAAAAGGCTGCAAAGTGTTTAGTTTATGCCTTTTTTGACACCACATTCACTAGTTTCCAAAAGTGAACGGGCAACACAAAGGCTACAAGAAAACTGCGTAAGGACTGCTCTATCCATGGCACAAAGTTGCTGACCCCGTAATGAACTGTCCTGCGGGTTAGAGCTGGAAGGGGATTAATTACAGCTGTAGATTTTCCTTTACAATTCAAACCCCAAACTAGGTAACGAGAACTGCAATTTAAAATATTTTACGCGGTTAAAACTTTCAAGCTGCGAGGCAACTGGTTTTTCTTGCACGAACATGCAAACTCACCTGCAAAGCTGAGGACACTCTTTCGCCGAGTTCTGCGTCTTGAAACAACTATCAAGATCTAAACCTTAAATGGCACTTTACTCCTACGTTGACTTGATCTCAGCTGTGATGCCGTAGGCATACATGCCTACCCATGGTGAGGCCATAGGTAAAAAACATCCCCTGCTTACATGAGTATCTCCCTGACACGCAGTCGATGACCAATGAAATCAAGTGCGCTCAAACCCATCCATCTCCCATTTCCTGGCGTGGGTACGCAGCCTGGGGGCCGCTTCGGAGCCTCCTGCGGTCCACCGGCAACGTGGGCGAGGCCAGGCCGCTGCCGTCCGCCCCCCACGGACTCAGGGCCCGGGATCCTCGGGGCCGGCCCGGCTGCGAAAGGCGTCTCACCACCCTCAGGGCGGCCGGGCGCGTCAGAGGCCGAGAGGCCGAGCCCGCCGAGGCCCCCGCCATTCCGGAAGACGGAGAGCAGCTCCGCGCGGCCCCGGCGCAGAATCAGGAAAGGCCGTGGGCTGCTCCCACAATGCTTTTCTACGACTGGAAGGACCCACTGTCCTGGGGGCGCGGGGAGGACGGACTGTACCACCGGCCGCCGCGCCCTCGCGAGACGCCGCCGTGTGGCGCGAGGGCGAAGTGCGCAGTGATTGGCCGTGGGGCGGGGCTCCAGGGGGAAAGAAGACGGAGGGCGGGGGCTCGCGGTCTCGCCTTTGCGCTGTGCGGCCAGTGCCTTCGCCCAGGCAGGTTTTCTTCCGTGTGGATGTGCACCCGCCCCGCGCCCAGTGTCGGGAGCATGTGGTCAGCGCTGAGCTGCGGGTGTAGCTCAGAGGACCTGAAACCTCGTGTTCTTCAGTCTCCGGCTGAGGAAGAGTAAGGTCCTTCATTCAAAGACTAGACTTGGAGAGTACTTCCTAGCTTCAGGCTCTGACCTCAGTGCCTGGGAATCAGGTGTGAATGAGCCCGACCGGCGTCCTGGCTTACGTTCTAGTTGGGCCAGAAAGGCACTAAACAGGTGACATGGACACGGTAGGTCCAGATAGCGTAAGTGCCAAGGAGGAAAAAAAGGAGGTTATGTGGCAGAGCAGGCTGTCCGATAGAAACATAGTGCGAACCACGAATTCCATTTTAAGTGTTCGAACTGCCACAAAAAAGTAAAAAAGAACAAGTTAAATTGATTTCAGTAGTAACTTAACATGTAATCAATATAAAATCATTGATGATTAATGATACGTATTCGTGATATATTTTGCTTAAAAGTCGGTGTATATTTTATACTTCCAGCACATTTCAGTTCAGACTAGTCACATTTCCAGTGCTGAGAAGCAGCCGGTGGGGCTGGAGCAGCCCGAGGAGTGCAGAACGGCCTAAGATGCAGCGGAAGAGACAGGTAGGAGCAGATCATATGAGGCTTTGTACTTGCGGTAGGAGTTGGGATTTTATGCTGAAATTTTAGAGTTGATTAATTATTACCACAGAAATGAAGCAGAGGTTGTTAATTGGCTTTTTGCCTGATAACCTGAACGCACTGAAGGGATAGAGACTGCAGTGAGATCTGCTGTGTGATAGCCAGGGGGTCTCCTTGCTCCTGTAGGTCCTAGCAGACTCATCAAGAGAACACATCCCAGCACCTTTCCTCGTTTCTTTGAGGCTAGTGAAAGAGAGAGAGAGAAGGAAGAAAGGAAAAAGAAAATTCAAGCCCGCATCCCACACAAAGACTAGCCTGAATGATAACAGCAACTTGGGGACAATTGGGGACAGACAGAAGGAGTAAATGTGTAATGATCACAAGAAAGGAAATAGCGCAGACCTTTTTTAGGAAGCCACTGTAACATCTGGGGGAAAAAAGGTTGGGGAAGGAGGATACTTCTAGGAGTATAATGTCAAGACATTGAATGGTACAGTGTGGGGTTTATAACAAATCTCAATCTTGCCTTCTTGCTAGGGAACAGTCAGGGAGAGAAATTTCCCTTGGGCTGGAGCAGCCAGCAGACCTGGGTTTATATCCAGCTCTGACACTTGTTCTTCTAGGCAAATAACCACCTCTTTGAGCCCCAAGGTTCCTCATTTATAGGATAATAACTATACCCATGAACCACATGTTAGTTTAAAGAATTAAGAAAGTCTTGCAGAATCGTCTAACACCGTGTAATACATAGTAACATACAACAAATGACTCTCATGAGTTTGGCTCTTCCTCTTGTTTATCCCCATTCCAGGTGTGGAATCTTCTTGGGTTGAGTTCTTAAGGAAAGGAGAAATATGTTGATGTTTTTCTTTTAATGGCTTGACATTTTTGTTCCCACCTTACACTTTCCTATTCTCCCCTTTATATTTCTTTCCCAAACTCTGGATGGTTCAAGAGTAGATAGAGGGGAGGCATTTGTTCCAGTTATTGGATTAGTGTTGGTGTCAGGAAATCCATTCTAAATTCTTCATCTTTCTGTCTACTTCAACCTCACACAGCCTGATAAGGAAAATCCAATAGTTAAACCAAGGCAAGCAGCATGGACAAAAGAAAAATTAGAGGATATTTTCTGCCTAGTTTTCCCATCATCTTTGCCTACTGGGGCTGAGGCATTATGTAAGGACGTGCAAGCTGCGTGTGGTGTTAGTGCAAACATGGAACAAGCTGGGGTTCCTTGTGCAGTAGGCAGAAGCATGGTCCCCCAAAGATGTCCACATCCTCATCTCCTGAGCCTGTGGATGTTTCATTATAGAGTAAAAGAGGCTTTGCAGATGTGATTAATGTTGGGGACTATCATATGGGGAGATAAAAATCGAAGAGGAAGGCAGAAGAATTAGAGATGTGGCAGAAGAGAAGGCGGGAGAGGGACTCAACCTTCCACTGCTAGCTTTGAAACTGGAGGAAGAAGATCTTTGAAGCCAAAGAATACAGTTTCAGCTCTAGAAGCTGGGAATGGCCTTCTGCTGACAGCAAGGAACCAGGGACTTCATTTCTACAACTGCATGAAACTGAATTCTGCCAACATCCTGAATGAGCATGGAAACAGACTCTCCCCTAGAGTCTCCAGAAAAAAGTACAGCCCTGTTGATGCTTTGATTTTAGCCAGTGACGCTCATGCCAGACTTCTGACCTACAGAGGTGTGATCATAAATTTGTGTTGTTTTAAGCTGCTAAATTTGTGTTAATTTGTTGGCAGCAAGAAAAAAAGCAACACACCCTGTAAGGGGCAGAGTGAGAAGTGAGCTGTTTTTCTTACCCCACTCCTTCTTGTCCCACACCAGTGTTCTCATCAGGAACATAAGTCAGATTTTGCAGATAAGCTATGCACATTTCATTCTAACCATATAGAGTCAATATTTGTTATGGTGGGTGCTCTAGATCCAAATTAATATCCAATAGATATTA